CTCTGTGTGTGTGTGTGTGTGTGTGTGTGTGTGTGTGTGTGTGTGTGTGTGTGTGTGTGTGTGTGTGTGTGTGTGAAAGAGGGGAAAAGACGTCTGCTAATGTCCTGTCAAGTAAGATGAACTTCTTCCTTCGTCCATCACTCACTCCCATGATGAGATGATGGAGGGCAAGCTTGAGAAGAGAGAAGTAAGGCTGTCTATGTTTACTTTCTGTTTGTGAAAGGCCAAGGGACACGCGCGCAATGACGTCAATTTTCTTCACTTTCTTCGAGACGTCAACAGTCCTTTGCAAGAATGAGAAAGAACGTCAGCATCAATGATAAAGCATACTCTCCTCCTCTTCTTTCATTTCGAAAGTTGGCATCTACTCTCTCGCTGCCCTGCTACAAATCGCTTCTCCCCCATAGCCGTTCTTACTCGCTGTCCTGACATTCCGTCTTTCCGGCTATCTGGCTATCTGGCTATCCACAATAGCCACTCTCCTGTTTTCATTTCCTTTGCTCTGCAATACGTTCAATTTGCCTGTCAGACAGCAGTGCATGGACTAACAGAGCGCTCTTCTACTTCTTTCGTGGGCATTGGCCAAATGTCAGTCCCATGCAGAACAGTTTTCGTCCGCAATCAGGTCACCGACGACCGTGCAGCGGCACACACTGAGGAGAGGCACACCAGCGCACTGCATTCTCAAGTGAAAACTCAACTTCACTCTCTAGTGAAAACTAAACTTCACTCTCAAGTGAAAACTCAACTTCACTCTCAAGTGGAGAGACTAGAGGACCCACCCAGTCACTGGTACAATCACGTCGAGACTCAACAAGACATGAATGCACACTGTAAGTACACACTCAAGTGCATACTTGACCACACACTCAAGGGCAAAACTCAGCCAAGTGTAACAAAGTCAACTGTACACTGAATCAAGTCAGTCACTCACGCTTGCACACTGAATTCTCAAGTTGAGACTAACTCAAGTTGAGACTAACTCAAGTTGAAACTAACTCAAGTTGAAACTAACTCAAGTTGAGAATAACTCAAGTTGAGAATAACTCAAGCACAGACTTAAAGGACACACTGAATTCTGAAGCTGAGACGAACTCAAGCAAGGACACACTCAAGTAGACGAACTCAAGGACGCACTCAAGTACAGAGTCACTACAGACTTAAGGTAACTATTACTTGGCGGTAGAGACCGATGTAAGTCTGCTTTTTTTCATTCGAGTCTGTGATTGGGTGCATCTTTGTTGAGTCCTCCCACTTTCAAACTCGCTATATCTATCTCTACACTCCGATCTTCTGAGTCTTCCCCTTTTCTTCCTCTACGTTTCCTTTGACATATTATAATGAGATGCATAATATCAGACAGTAAACGATTGAATAGAATGAATACACTGAATTAAAAAATTGAGTCAAAGCGATTCAACATCGACTAAACAGATGTGCTTTTAATATTTTTACTTACCTCATCGGAGACCAGTGCCGCCCTGGGAACTTCAATCATGGTTCCAACCAAGTAATCAATCTTCACGCCGCTGTGGGACATCACTTCCTCGGCCGTCTTCCTGATGACAGCAGTCTGGTGTGCCAACTCCTGCTCACACACCACAAACAACAGTTCGTCTGATGTCAATGCTTGCTTTCGAACAACAAAAAAAATTAAATAAATAATAATAATAATAATGACAACAACAACAACAACAACAACAACAACAACAACAACAACAACAATAATAACAATAATAAGTTAATAACTTAATAACAGCTCTGGTACATTCTCTCAGAAAACAAAAAAAAGGACAGTATCAACCCCCACCTTCATAGGTGACTGACACTGCAAGGAGGACAGTATCAACCCCCACCTTCATAGGTGACTGACACTGCAAGGGCTAGGCTGACACTTATTCAACTCTGTTCTTTTGGCTCTTTCGCTTTGCAAGTTGTACTCATGCTTGCCGGTGATAAGCAACCGGAGTGACGCCCCTTAGAAAAGAAGGGGCTTGGGTGTTTCGGTGGGGGGGGGAGGGAAAAAAAAAAAAAAAAAAAAAAAAAAAAAAAANCTAAAGACGCTAAAGACTACCTTCTTCCCCCGAATACAACGTACGGTCATTATAGCTGTATTTGAGGCATCTTTCAGTCTAGATACAGCTATAATGACTGTACGTTGTATTCAGGGGAAGAAGGTAGTAAAGACTCTAGAGTTGTCTAAACTGAACATTAGCCACCAAGGAAATGCCTTTGGGGGGGGGGGGAGAAAAAAAAAAAAAAAAAAAAAAAAAAAAAAAAAAAAAAAAAAAGACGAATAGCTCAGTTGGTACATCCACAAACTGTCGAAACACAGACCCAAGTTCGAATCCAGATACAATCAGATGACCAGAATAAAATAATTTTTGAAAAAAAAAACAAAAAAAAAAAACAGGAATAGAGTTCAACGAACTTGAAACTTAAGAAAGGCATTTCCCCGACTAGATAATGCCGGGTTCCGGCAATATCCATAACTATTCTGCAGCTCCTGCTGTTCTACTTCGGTTGTTATTTCCGAAGAAGACTAACGATTGTCAAGCATGGTTTTCAGCCTCCGTTGACTTGTTGGCTGGTTTTTGGTTGTTGACGTCGAGTGACGGTGTTGATGTCAAGTCGAAAGTGTCTGTGCGTGGCTGTGTATGTGGACGATATTCCGCTTTTGAAGTTTGAACCCTGCACACTATTTCCCAAAAATAGCTTGTTGGTGACCAGAAAATGCTGCCAGCATCTGGCCACAATCTGCGGATGGATTCAGAATCGCTTTGTCGTCAGAGTCGTCACGACGACAAGACAAGACCGCCCTAGGAGCGAACAGACCGTCACAGAGAGGAGGAACTAACACAAGAGCAGAAGTGGAACAGAATGAATGAGCAGAGCAGTAGCACATCCATCAGACCAAGATCGGACAAACTGGTACAAACCTGTGGGCCACCAACGAGCGGAACCATGATCTCAGGATGCACTTTGACACCGTGCTCTGTACACGCCACAGCCGCTTCCATAATCGCTCTTGCTTGCATTCTCGTCAGCTCAGGGTACGAAATACCCAACCTGCAAGAGAGCCCAGCAGATGCAGCATGCCTCTGTCAGCTCACGATTCTTGAAAATTTCAGATCACATTGTTAATGTGGTTTTCTCGTTCTTATAATGTTCACAACTCCACGTCCATCGCCAGCCTTTGCCATCTCTCTCTCTCTCTCTCTCTCTCTCTCTCTCTCTCTCTCTCTCTCTCTCTCTCTTCCAGCAGCTACGAGCTCAGATACCTTGACAATGCATCGTGTTCAAAAGAGGAAGGCGATTTAAAAAAAGACAGGAGGTAGGACCTACCTCCTGGGCAGCCTATTGGTGTGTGGCTAATGCTTTGTTCCTGTCGACCTCAGTCCTCGCAACATTGTGCTGTTTCAAGAAAGACCTATAGGTTGTTGTTGCTGTTGTTATCATCGTTGTTGCTGTCGTCATTGCCAATTCTTATATCTGCTGCGTTTTCTTGTTGTTGCAATTGTTATCATTGTTCGTGATCGTTTTGCTGTTATTGTCATTGTTACAGTTGTTGTTGTTGTTGTTGTTGTTGTTGTTGTTGTTGTTGTTGTTGTTGTTGTTGTTGTTGTCGTTGTTGTTCTTGCTGTTGTTGTTGTTGTTGTGGTGGTGGTGGTGGTCGTCGTTGTGTGTACACACCTGCATCCACGGAAGCCGAGCATGGGGTTGACCTCAGATAACTTCTCAATCCGTGAGAGAATCTCCTCCGTCGAGATTCCAGAGTCCTTGGCCAGCACTTCAACCATGTCGCCAACGTCTCCCTCAGGCAAGAACTCGTGGAGTGGTGGGTCCAGAAGACGGATCGTCACAGGAAGACCTGACAACACATATGCACACACACACACACACACATCGTTTTAGTCATCATCATCATCATCATCATCATCATCATCATCATCATCATCATCAACATCATCATCATCAGCATCATGCTTCAGGCACCATCCTTGTCGTCATTGTCGCCAGACTCGCCATCATAATTGTCATCTTCACCAGCCGCATTGTCGCTGCCGTCATAACCTATCGTCATGGGACAGCAATTGAGGAGAGCAAACAATTATCTGAGTACTTCTATGTGCCTGTTGAATATATACTCAGTAGGGGGCAAATACTTTTCGATGTGAACCTGGTCCAACAATTGTCCAGTTTATTATTCTGCACAACATAGTTAGTTCCCCCTCCCATCAAAATTCCGCGCCATGGATGGTAACTTGGTAAGTAATTATTAATTACTGCGGTTGAATACTCCTCTCCTACAGGGATCCACTGTATTTTTTTCTCATTCGTTCTCTGAGTTTTGACAGTAATGATTTTTTCTGTTTTTTTTTTTTTTTGGTAATTTGTAATTTTATTATTTTATATGCATACTTAATCAAACTGTTGGATGGTTAATCGAACTTCGAACGTTGTCAAATACGTGCATTACGCAGGTGACGATGCCACATAAGAATCTAATCAAATTGGTAAATCACAGTGGCAAATCTTCTAAACGACACATGGGTGCCGATGCCACGTGAAAGTCTAAACACATTTGGTGAATATTCTAAATTAGTAAATTACATCGGCACCCATCTTATGTGGCATCGGCACCCATTGTTCACGCAGTCCCACGAGCTCAAGTCACCACATCTTATCATCAAAACTGTACTTCGACAGATCGGACACCTCACAGCCATGGAAGAGGTCAGCCAGAAGGAAAGGAGTCATACCTCAGGACACGCCCCCGGGCCGAACCCCACCCTCACCATCACCACTATCCTGACCCCCCCGCCTCCCCCACCTCCTGGCCCCCACCGCTCCACTCCCCCAACCCCCACCCTGACACCCCC